GTCTAGCCTCTCCTTGTCAAGTTCATGTTCCGGATCTTTACTTGGTTGATCTCTTCTCTTTGTGCATGTGCTTTCCACTAGTCTAGTCTCTCATTGTCAAGTTCATGTTATGTTTCGGATCTTTACTTAGTTAGTCTCTTCTCCTTGTGCATGTGCTTCCACTAATCTAGTCTTTTCATTGTCAAGTTCATGTTCCGGATCTTTTTTTTGTTCAATCTCTTCTCTTTGTGCATGTGCTTTCCACTAGTCTAGCCTCTCATTGTCAAGTTCATGTTCCGGATCTCTACTTAATTGGTCTCTTCTCTTTGTGCATGTGCCTTCACTAGTCTAATCTTTCATTGTCAAGTCCATGTTCCGGATCTTTGCTTTGTTGATCTCTACTCTTTGTGCATGTGCTCTCTACTAGTCTAGCCTCCCATTGTCAAGTTTATGTTTGATGTGGTGTTCCGGACCCTCACCTGGTTGATCTCTACTCTTTGTGCATGTGCCTTCCACTAGTCTAGTCTCTCATTGTTAAGTTTATGTTTGATGTGGTGTTCCGGATCCTTACTTAGTTAGTCTCTTCTCCTTGTGCATGTGCCTTCTGCTAGTCTAGTCTCTCATTGTCAAGTTCATGTTCCAGATCTCTACTTAATCGGTCTCTTCTCTTTGTGCATATGCTTCTACTAGTCTAACCTCTCCTTGTCAGGTTCATATTCCGGAGCTTTACCTAGTTAAGTCTCTTCCCTTTGTGCATGTGCTTCCACTAGTCTAGCCTCTCGTTGTCAAGTTCATGTTTGATGTGATGTATCGGGTCTTGTTTAGATGATCCTCTTCTCTATGAGTATGTGTTTCCCATTGGTTTAGCTTTTCATTGTCATATTATTCCAGGATATACTTAATCTCTCACTATGGCGCGGGTGATCGACGTTGGGTTGTTGTTACGGGGAACTGATTTGATTAGGAGTTCTTCTTGTTTGTTTGTTTTTTTTTTTTTTTTTTTTCCTTTCTCTCTCTCTCTCTCTCTCTCTCTCTCTCTCTCTCTCTCTCTCTCTCTCTCTCTCTCTCTCTCTCTCTCATCTCCGCCCCTGTCTCTCTCTTTTCTCTCTCTCCCCCTTTTCCTCCCTCCTTCTCTAGTCCTCTCTTTCCTCTCCCTCCTTTTCACCTTGCCTCCTCCCTCCCTCTCTCTCGTTCCCTCGCTTGGCATATGACTAAACCTTTTTCCCTCACTTGGAAAACATTACCAGGGTACGGACGGTGAACGAAATCAGACCTCACTTGGTGGAGAAAGAGGACAAGGGGAGGATAGCCGGTCCCTTGTGCCACCAAGGACGCAAAAGAGAAAGGACGGTTGAAAAAGTAGGAGAAAGGCGGAATCCGGAAGATTACTTAAGTTGAAAGTGAGGTCAGTTTGACTCAACCATTTCCCCGACTGCATGACTATGAGAAGAGAATGGGCTGATTGAGCATCAAGAGGGAACAAAGAGCAGCCAAAGGATTTGAAAAGATAGGCATGTGGGAAGGACTATGTGTTGACCCCCAATGGGGGATTGTATGGATCTCCTTGCTTGTGTGGGATTGTGCAGGTGAGTGATGACTAGAAATGCCTTAAGCGGGATAGGGGCGAGAGGAATTGGGCGCCAAGAGTGAAAGGGAAGAGGGACAAAGGGGCTATGGGACCCTTTACATAGAGCCAACCCACGGAAATGACTTTTGCGCTTGAGGACTTGAAGTGCAAATGAGAGTGCAATCGTACCAAGGAAATTGTGATGTTACGTGTGCATGCATATAAGGACCCCGAAAAGACTAAGGGGCCTAATTAGGAAAACAACAAATTGTGAGACCCGATGGATGCGTCGAGGCGAGGGGGAGGACGACGCCACCACACCCCGATGACGCCATATAGCCACATTGCTTAGGGAAATGGTGCGTGGCCTAAGGATGACGCTTAGCCTACGCACAAGAAAAGAGAAACACTCAAAGAATCCTTGGACTGCCTGCGTATTGGAAGGAGCAATTGCATGAGAACACAACAAAGAATAAAAAAAAATCAGCGTTGCGGAACAACCAGCGAGACTACCACCCGGCGTGAGGGCCGAGCTACATCCCCAATGTCAAAGCTCTCTCGCGCGACGGCCCAACCCCATCCATCTCAAAGCACTAGGTGGGGGTGACCCTGGGACGAATGGCCCGCGCCCTGAGCATGAGTGTGGGCGGGCCGAGCCATCTGGGACCCGTAGTGGGGTCGACTAAGGCTCGAAAGTCTACCGGGGTTTGGCCCTACAACGGAGCCTCTGATGGTCCGCTCTCTTCCTGCTCTGACGATCGCAGCGAAGGTGCCTGTAGGTCACTGCTAGTAACTTGATGGAACTCCACCTGCCTAAGTACACAGGCAGGGAAAGACTCTACTGTCTCAGCAAACCCTGCTCGCCCTCCTTCCCGTTGCGCCAAGGCCTTCCGACCTCTCCTAGTCACAATGGGCTCTCTCGGCTCCAACTCCCTTGGCCTCTTACTTCTTTGTCTCCTATCAACCCTGTGCTCAGGTTTGTCGGGTTCGGGCCGCCGAAACGTCTCTCTCAATTGAGCCTGGCAGTCCTCCCAGTCACGTGCCCTATCTCGGATCTGTCTTGTCAGTGGTCTCTTCGCCCTCCTGGTCCATAGGAGTAGCGTCTGCATCCATTCATCCCTCTGAACTCCCTGATCTCTCATGAACTGCTCATATGCTGGGATGAACTCTTTCGCATTTCCCTACTCCAACCGGATAGGCAATCCATTACGCCCCACAGGCAAAGCCCTTAGTCTCTGCATCCTTGCTTCCACCTCCGGCCAGGTCAGCGCCTCCTCCCTGATCTTTGCGATAGGCTCCTCAAATCGCCCGACCCCTCTCAAATGCCGTATTTTCTCAGGAACGTCCCACCCTCTCTGGGTCGCGTGATCTCGATAGACGTCCAGGAAGAGCTCGATGTTGTCATCATCAAAGACAGGTGTAGGCTCTCTCCTGAAGGGCCTATGCCGCTCTCCCTCTTCGGAGGCCCCGAGAGGTTTCTATCGTGGCCGTGTGTCCCTCCCGCCCCTCTGCATGGCTGTCTTCGAGAAGTCAGACCTGCACATCAGGCGAGAAAAAACAACCAAGCACACAAACAGGATCAGCAAGCAGGCTCATCAGGTCTCAGAGCAACACATACCCAATTCCGAACATATCTGACCCTTCCCTCTTTCTATCCATCCTAATTCTGACATACGACACTTAGGATGGGGTTTTATCTTAGGGGTTTTTAGGCATTTACCTATTCCCTGGCCACAAACTTCTTCAATCTTGTTCCGGACACCCAGTCTTTCCATTCCGTCCCATCTAACTCCTTGATTTGATAGGCCCCGAATTCGCCACACCGCACAATCCTGTAGGGCCCGAACAACCTTTTGTCGAGTTTTCGCGACCACTGCTTTTCCAAAGAGGAATCGTATAGCAACACGATGTCCCCAACTGCCAACGGCTCCTTCCGCACTCGCGCCATCTGATCCCACCGCATCTTATCCTCCATTTGACTCCTCTCTACGTGCTTAGAGGCCTCTCGTATCCTTTCTTCAGTCGCGCCCACCTGCTTTGCCCGAATATCGAGCAGCTCTTCGAAAGACAGGTTGGTTTCCAAGTCTTGGCGCCTCTAAGTCTTCAAGAAGCTTTCTATGGAAAAGGTGGTATGTCTTCCATACCACAAAGTGGCAGGCGCGTACTTGGTAGTCCTCTTTACCGTGACATTCTCCACGAAGCTGCTCGCAGAAACTTTGGCCACTGGTCAGGTTTGCCTTCTGTCCACTTGGCTAGGAAATTCGTGATGGTATTGTGCCCCCTTTCCACATATGCATTTGCTTGAGGATGTGCAGCGGTAGTATAATTCGCCACTACGTCATATCCTGCAAGCAAAGTTTGCACCTCGTTACAGGTGAACTCTGATCCTCGATTCATCACAAACTCTTTGACGAAAGGGTAGCGTAGATAATACTCTTCGATTTAGCTTGCCAAAACTGGGCCGGTCTTCGTGCGAATAGACCGATCGTCCACAAATCCAGTAAGGTTATCTTGTGCATCGAAAATGTAATTACATCCGTTCTCCCTAATCGGTATGAAGAGTAGATCCAGATGTACGACTGCGCCCACCTCTCTCTCCAACCTTGGGTGTAGGGGTTCCCCTGGCCTTTATGCCGATCTCTCTTGGCAAGGGACACAAGATTGGCAGTACTTGATGACCATGTTCAGCATCTCGTCCCAGTGGTATAGTTCACTTATCTTTGCACATGTGGCACTTATCCCTCTGTGCCCTCCCGCTATACCTCATGTAATGCCGCTATAATGTCGATTTGCCGGTTCCTCCCACATACAGTCCGCTTGGGATTCCCGACTTGTCGTTTTATGAACAGATGTCCATCCCTCACCACGTAGAGGTGCCTCATCTTCTGAGTCTTAGCGCTTTCATCCCTGTCCCTTATTTCAAAGGATAGGAGTAGACCTAACTCAAGGTAGATCCCATCATACTCCTCTGCTCGAAATGCCTCTTTAATCTCCCCTTGCTCGAACTCGTCGTCCTGACTTTCAGGAACGGGATCCTCGCCCTCAACTGGACTTAAAGAGTTCTTTCGGTCAAAGTCACCTTGCAGAAGCGTATTAGTGAGCAGGTACATCCCTCCCATTAGCTGCTCATGCTCCTCTACTTGAGCAGGGCCCTCCTCTATCGTTCTTATTTCTTCTGCCAAGCTATGCGTACCTGCGAACGCCAATTTCGTCATCCAGCGAACATCCTTGCCTCCCCATGGGTCTTCCTCCTAAAACGGTTTGAGGACTAATTTAGCCTTTTGCTCGTACCCTCTAGGCGTTATCCATATGGGGTGGCTGACACAACTGCGCACTCGCATAAACCACTCATTTATATGGAGGCGGACGTCTTTTTCCTGGTCCAAAAACCCATCAACCGGTGGAGTATCCTCAGTTGACTCCTGATCCAGACAAAACGCCTTACTCTGGACATTACCTCGTCCTCCTCCTTCTCCTTTGGGCCTTTGACCACCAAGTCATCAATATAAGGCTGAGTGATGTGTGGGCTGACCGTCTGCATGGCTTTGATCATATGTCGTTGCACCATTGCCACTGCATTGGTCCAACCCTGAGGGGCCACATTCATATGAATCAGCCCCCTTGGCGTGTGCATTGCTGTTACTGGCCTATCAGGCGGGTATACAGGAAATTGATCATACCCAGAATAGAGGTCTATAAGTGAAATTATAAACCTCCCTGCGCATGATTCTGACAATGCATCTGCGTTCGGCAAGCTTCCCGCGTTTCGCACTGGCACTGCATTCAATCATTGCAAGTCCTGCACCCATCGCAGCGTCCCATTCGGCTTAATAAAGCAAAACCAAGGGGACGCATACGGTCCGCTAGAGTAGCCAGCAACATACGTGTGCATCTTGCCATCAAGATAGTCCACCACCATCTTCTCCTCGTCAGGATTCGGATACCGCGCACCCCTTAGATTCCAAGGCTCGTGTGGGACGATGTGGATTCGAATCATCGGAATTTTGTCCACATCCGGCCTCCCACGCTGATCGTCATTAAAGGCGTACCCGCGATGCCTTTTCTTTATCAACTGCACCATTAAGGCCTTTTCTTGGGGTGAAAGGTAACCAGACTCTCCAACTATCAGCTTCTCTTCATTCTCATCGTTGATACGACATGGACCATCCAGCGCTGCTCCCGCATACGTCGTATCAACCCTCGTTCTCGCTCGTAGTAAGCCTCCTCGTCTTCTGTAACGAGCACGGGAACAGGGCGACACTTCTTATCTATCGTCTTGTACCGCCTTTGGACGCCCTGCTTAAGCCGTCCCCTAAAAAAGGCCGACTTGTTGTTTGTGCTTGTGCCATCGAAGGGCCTCCTCTTCCTCCGGGAAGCCGATAGATCGACTCCACTTCCCCCACCTGAGGGTTTTCGAAGACTTGCTCCCTCAGTGCCTTAATTGCCTCCGGATCCGCCATCTCATATGCCGCCAGTATCTCCATAGCTTTGTTTACATCCGCGAGGCTCAGCGACAACACTTTCGCTCTTCCTTCCTCCTCAAGTTCTCATTCTCTGATTCTACAAAGGTGAATGAGCCGGGATTAGGTCTATTCCACTCGCTCCCTGGCCCCGTGTTCCGGCAGGTGATAACTTCATAGTTCCCACAGGCCGGATCACTCAAGAGTAATATCATCATTCTATCGTGCTTATTGAAGATCAAAGTCTCCGTCCTGCACATGAACGATCTACCCAGGAGGATAGGGTGGTCGACGTCTGGCATGACGAAGAAGCAAGTCCTCGCCCGCACCTTACCAATTTTTATGATTACATTGGATGTCATGCCACAAAAAACTACCTCCATGCAATATACCATGGTCTGCACGGTCAATTTCCAATCCGAGCATGAGGGCATCCCTTTCTCTGATGATGTTCATCTCGGCGCCCGTATCCATCATTGCAACACACTTCTTTTCTTTCACCACCAAATCCACCAACCTGCATGCCGCACACTTCCAGTCCATCCTTGTTCCAGCTTTTGTCCATCCTACCTCCCTTGGCAGGATCGCACTTAGATGGACGTTGGGCACTAACCTTCGAGGAGCCTATCCACCATTCTCTCCACATCAAACCCTTCTTCTAGCCTGACTGCATACTTCCTTTTTTTAGGCGCACTGTCCTGCTGACCTGGCTCAGCTTCCTCTTGGTTCCCTCTCCTTTGGGCTCTTAATTCCGTCCGTCGATCCTCCTCTTGTCGGAGCCTCTCGTCCTCCGTATCGTCATCCTCCTCGTCTTCTTCTTCCGGGACCTCTACCACTTCCTTCCTGCGCTCGGGCTCAGGTCTCCTTCGAGAAGGTGCCTGACTCGGCACCTGATTAGGGCCAGCCTTACTTTGGCTTCTGGTTTGCGTTGCCTGAGGTGCCCGCCCATGAGGGGTGGGTGGCCTAAACGTCATCCCTGACCTAGGGCCCGACCCTACAGGCGCCACCCCGGGGTAGCCTTGCTGCCCTGATGCTGATCCCGGCCCGGACTCGTAGAGGAAGACTCTGGGGAGGTCGGCCTTCCATTCTTGGGCATTACACAACTCCTTTAGCCTCTGCTGGTATCTTCCCACCTTCTCCAGCAGGTCCTTCATTTTTTCCAGGATTGTTATGGATGACTCTTCGACCTCCCTTGAGTCTTCGTCATCTGACTCAACGACTATCGGCTCTTTCTTTATAGTCCCTGCCTTTAATCGTTGGGTCACCTCCTCAGTCTCCCCTATAACCTCTTCGATCCTCACGGGCGGGTCCTCCCTTTCTTGCCATGGTATGAACATCGCCGGGGGCGCCGTCCCTACCGCTGCTCGTCTTTGGGCTTCCTGTCTAACTCCACCTGGAATTTTTGGGTCAATATACTGCCCAAAATTTATCATATATATCCCCATCCATGTTTGTGAAAATTAGACCGGTGAGCTCATCGTCCCGCCGTTGCTGGCAAAATCGTATGGTGTGGCCCACAATGCTACAATGTCGGCAGACGACATTTCGCCAATCAAAGCGGGGCCTTCCATATCCTTGGCCCCCTTCTTGACCACCTTGGCCGCCTTGATCCTACCTTCCTTGTCCGTTCCATCCACCACCGCGTCCCCCGCTGTTCCTTCCTCAGCCGCCACCCCCTTGACCTCCTTGTCCTCGACCACCATTGCCTTGCCCTCCTTGCCCTTGACCTCCTCCTCCCGCCACGCTAGCCTGCGAAGCTTGCTGCGAGGTGGGAGGCTGGGCCGTGAACTGGCCTGGGGTCGTCGGAAAACTTGGTGGCCCTGCACTCGCCCATGGGCCCGAATAAGGGACCATCTGTCCTGGGGGAGCTTAGCCTCCCCCACACGACCTGCAGTGCTTACATTTGGGCCAGGGTGCCAACTGACAATAAGGCATCCAAGGACCATATGCTGGCGGCGGACCCATTTGTGAGGGTCCTGCCGACATATGTGCAGTGGTGGCGGCGGCTGGCGGCGCAGCGATTGCGTGCGAGATTTGTCCTTTCCAGAGCCATGTCCCCCTAGCAGCAAATTGCGCTGCTTGAGCTGGGCTTTGGTAAGAACTTGTGACCCTGTCTCCTCTTCACCGTAGTCTTCCTGCCTGGTTTCTTCTTCCCCTACCTCCTTACTCCTGCTTTGGAATACGGTCACCACCTTTTCCTGTACCTCGGCGTCCTTGCCATAGCCCAATTCCGCAAGTACATCCGTAACAATCCTTTTTCCCCATGGGGTTCCAGATGTCGTGGCGTCCCTTTCCTTTCTCTTCCTTCTCTGCAAGCGCATCTGATGGTGCTTTACCTGGTCCAGGCTCCCATCTTCCACTCCCTTATCAATAGTGGCCCAGGTAAGCTTCGCACTGCCCCCTCCATGGCTGGTCAACTCTGAGGCCTCTGATGCAGTAAGCAGCCCTAGAAAGATGGCACAACACTGAAACAGAGTACTACAGCCTGCGCTGTTCTTTTTGGGGTTCGGAGACAGAAAAAGGTGCAGGCACGTTGCCTGTGACGTTGCGCAGATTCTGGCTGCGATTCGGTACTTCGACCTTGGAATGGGCACCAGTTGGCTACTTACACAGTCCTGGGACGGCAGGCCATGGCCCGGACCTGTTGGGTTTAGAAATTGGTCAGTGGTTTGCAGTTGGAACAGCTACCGCAATGGACCAGGGCGCCATGACCGGGCCTGGATTGACGAGGGCAAGAAATTCTCTGGGCCTGGTGCATTGGGGCTATAGGGACTGCGACGCGGACCGAGTGGAAGCAGGGCAGTTGGCCACAGACAATGGATATAGGGGAAGTAAACGGGTACCAGAAGGAGGGGGAGGTTTTGGAAGATGCGTGCCAGACGTACCTAGCATCCCGGAAGTTGACTGGAGACGAACAAGCAATGGGAGCAAGCACGGGTAGAATCGGCGCTCCGGCGGTTAATCCGCCCGAGCGAGGGGTGTAGGGGGACATGTTGTTGACAGGGGGAAGGGACTGCGTACCAGGCGAGCGCAGCGCGCTAGCACATGATCCGATTGAAGGAAGGGATGGCGAGGTGTGTGCAGTGACAGAGCGAGCTGAACTATGGCATCCCGTGGCTGCTCTTGAGGCGGTCATGGCCGGCGTGAGAACTCTCTGCCGGCATCGATCAACACGGAGGAGGCACCTATGGTGAGTATTCGTGTGAGTGTGTGAGTGAGAGAAAAGGGGGGGGACGACCGTGTGGCAAC